CCCCCCCCCCCCCCCCCCCCGGTGGACGTCACCCCCCCTCACGTTGGTTAGCCGGAAGGCCCTATCCACCCATGGCATGTCTGGATTGGCACAGCAAACGTAAAGCTGATGACCGCCTTCTGATTTTTTCTTGTGAAACGTAGATAGCCTGGGCCGGCGACAACACGGCGTGCTCCGTCCCGGCGTTGTACGGGTGCCAGGTCTGTGGTCTAGCGACTACGGCATGCGTCTACATGGGTACACACACACAGCCACACAAAGTTGCACGTTTCTTCTGTTATTGCTATTTACGGTATCTTTCGTTAATCCGGAGAGTAGCATAGCCCCCCCCATGACGCCCCCTCACAGGGTCCAAGGCCTATACGTGTGAGCGTCTTGTGTTTTCAACCGCACTGAGGCTGGCGACGTCTTTACATGGGTCACCAGTTAGCGCGGTCGATGCTAATGAAGTAGACACACACACATACACTCTCACACCCGACCACAGGTTCGACGAGATGGTCGAGAACATGAAGGCAGTGGCGGTGAGACCGGAGGAGCTCTCCATGGAGGAGCGCAACCTCCTGTCCGTGGCGTACAAGAACGTCATCGGCTCGCGCAGGGCGAGCTGGCGTGTGATCAGCTCCATCGAGCAGAAGGGAGAGGTGCGAATCGAAGGAGCCGTTGCTGTTGTGGGTGCTGAGATCCGGTGAACGGCGCAAGAGGTCGGAGAGGGAAAGGAAATGGAAGTGTCGGAGATACTAATTTAAAGAGCGAAGCTGAAGAGCCGTTGATCGTTGTTGTTGTTGTTTGCTGGTGCTGAGGTCTCCTGGAAGAGGAAAGCGAGAGGTTGGAGAGGGAAAGGAAATAGGGGGGGCGGGGGCTTGAGGGGCTTCCTGCAAATGTTCCTGCTGTGGAGTTCGTTTTTTGCCGTTTTTTTTCCGTGTGTGTAACTGCTGTTCCCTGCATGTTACCCTTGCTTCAGGCTGGACGAGAATGTAACGTTCCACGGAGCCTTCCGAACTCCTCCGTGTACACTACACATGTAGGCTATTGTACGCTGTGCCCTGCGGTCAATTTAGTTGTTGCATTCGAAAACGACACAATAACACAGCTGGTTGGTCGAGCAGCTTGGGCAGACACAATGCGGACTAGCGATGAAAGCCTCAATCCCCCCTGGTAGATGCATGCCTTAGCGGTTAGACCATTGACCACGCGTCCTCGAGAGGACGGAGCATTGTTCCCACAGGACCGATCACCGATGGCCAATCGTTCCTTTCTACTTTGCCAAAGGTGGCTCAAAAATGTCTTCCCTAGTCTGTCTATCCTAACGATATC